TTACGGAAAAACCCTACTTCCTGTGGCTAGGCTAATCCTCTACCAAGCGTCCCCAAATAGATGCCATGGGGCACGCTGGCTAATACGTTACACGAGTAAACACTTCCTGGCTTGCGTCTGTTCACTTCACTGAAATCAGATAATCACTCAATCATCCAATTTTGACGTGCCATCAAGGTGCGAGTGGGTGTACCACTTCCTAGTCGTGCCATTTGGCTCGCGGTTAAATCGTAAGTGGGCGACTAACAGGCTGGCGTCACGAGGTTCTTGACGCCACAGAGTGACAAGGTTCTCTCTGACATTTTTGGCGAACTTGTTTTGTTGTACGTTCCAAATTTTCATTATCTGTCTTGGAACAAATTACGAATTAATCCGACTTGTAGAAAAGTCCATGAAGAATACTGCTTAGTTGCATTAACATTTTACGTATATTTATTTGACGCCTTCCAACTTTCAAAACGTTGTTTGGTATAATTTGCTCAAAATCACATTGTTATAAGGTCTAGTGATTTTGTAGTCCCAGGATCACGAAATCACTACTCTAGCGCTTTAGACTAGACAACTGGCATAACCCTGCAAGCTTCGTTTGAATAAATCTTGAGGTTAGTCACCTAGTTTTATTGTCATTGATACCTGCATGCGACTTTTTTTTCTCGATAGACTTAGGATGGTGAGACTCCGGGTGCTTTCTATCAAAGATGATTAGTATTAATCTTGGTTTAAATCTTATCTGGAACCCTTAATTATGTGAATTTGGTCGAGAAACTTACAAATTACTTTATTTTGATTTTTGTATATTTTATCGTTAATTCGTAAAATCACGCACTACAGTATACGGCATTAACTACTTAACATTTGGGTTAACATATTATTTCAGATCTACCAAGAGTCTTGATTGAAAACTTGCAAAAGATGACGGAGATTGAACTGAACAGTGTTGCGAAGAGGCAAAATATTGACCCCCACCGTATTGAAATCTCAAATTTTCCATAATAATTAGCTATTTTAAGACTTATTTCAACCTCAAAATAAAAATGTTTATCAATACTTTTCAAAAACTGGAAGTTGAAAGGAATAACGCAATATCGATTGCTGTGTTTGACAAAATACGCACTAAAACCAATTATCGCAAAATTACGTTCCAACTAAAAATTAATTTCGGTCACTAATAAAAAAATTGTCATTCGCTCTTCAAAAAATTTATTTCCAAAATTTAGGCCCCACATTCTCACCTCAATTTGTCAACACGCTTCAATTGTTCAAGATTGTACAAAGCAAAAATTTGTTGTTTTTTTTAAAATATAATTACGATTTATAAAAACTCGCTAGGTGCCAACCTATCCGTCTGGAAGAGGCTGCACTTCCTAGTGGTGGCGAATGGTCCGTCGGAGGGATAGTGGGCGTGCGCGCGGGGGGAGGGGGGGCGGAGGTCGCCACCTGCGCGCGCTCGGGTGCATTGTCTGGAGGCGCAAGGCCGTGGAGCGGTCACGGGAGGGGGAGGAGAGGGGGCGGGCGAAGCGACGCCGCTGTGCGGGGACGCGGCGCCATATTTAGCCGCGCCGCGCAGCGCCGCCGCCGCTACCTCCCCGCTCCTCCCCTCCCCACGTTGCGTCACGCCTCGCGGAGGAGGCCTCTGCCGGCAGCTGCCCCGCAGCAACTCAAGCAGGGCTCGCCTTTATTGTAGTCGGCCGTGGGGAAAAGAACTTTCAAAATTCGCAAATTGTGATGTAGAGACAAGATCAGGCATGCTTGTAACCCACGTTGAGCATCCTCCCTAACTCAGCAACTAAGCCCTTTAAATCAGGATTTTGAGTGTCTCTAGTTACGTTGTTTACACGGTAATCGCCAAAATAAAATGATTTTGGACGTTCAATTATCCTAACTCTATAGAACGGGTGTCAGAGGGGCTCAAAGCTAGTAAAAGTATGAAGCAATTTTTCGCTGGTAAAAAAGATTATTTGTGGAATGTTTGCAAGAGTGCTGTTATTATTATTATTATTATTATTATTATTATTATTATTATTATTATTATTGGTTTACCACCATCATGGTGGATACCGTCGCCATCCCTGGAGACCTCGTCTTCTCTAAACATAACTGATTTCACCTGCGCCTGTGAGTGATCACGCGCAACAAACTCAATCTCCCATTCATCCGCGACGTAACTTCGGTGTGCAGCCCCATCGAGGGACCGTTCGCGTCGCGTCGCCGCAAGCGGCTCTCGCGCTGGCCGTCGCTTGCCGCCGGGGGCGCTCGCGCTCCTGGCGCTGGCCGCCATCCGTTGCCAAACGTCACGGACATGGAGAAAGTGGTATCTCCCTCCCCCTCCAGGCACGGACGCCCTCACGCGTGAATGAATTGAACGGCCTCCGCCTCCCCGGCTCCTAATCGAAGGCGAACGGATTCTCCTCCGTGCGTTGAGCGGGTATACGAAACAGCCTTCGGTTTCCAAATCACGTCGACAGACTGTCCGCGGTTAGTTTCCAGAAAGTTGTCATACGAATAGGTTTATTGGAAATGATGCAGTTTCAAATTCAATGTCGGCTTCTAGTATTACTGGATGTGTTAAGAGTATCAACTTCTGAGGACGAATAGAACGACTCTATAGTCAATTCCTTACGGCACAATGCGATCTTTTATTGTGTGAAACGGTTATGTTTCGTGACAATTTGGTAACAGGGCCGCAGACCGCTACGTCAGTGTTTAATGCAGGCTTTGTGGAATGTTGTTTTTTTGGCAAACCTTACCAGGCGCGGTTCTATCATTCGAACACAGGTCACGTGCAGCTACCCCTCCGCAATCTAGGCGTCTAGAAAAAATTATAACGAATATTATATTTTAACTAACATTTTTCGCCTCTTTTTTTGAACTGAACTAACGTGATTATAGGTCTATGGACATTTTGTTGTCTTCTTTGAACATAGATCCGTCCTCACCTGCGAGAGGGAGGGGGAAGGGCTAGGCAATATTCCACTGCGAGTAAGCTATCAGATTACTCTTTCGGCTGTGCCCTGCTATCGTTCCTACTTACCCGTTAGATATGTGCTATGCACCCGGCATGTCTTCATTCAAAAATCTAGGCAAAAGCAGCAATTATAAGACGTGAACGTATGTGAAAATGACAGGGTATTAGATCAGTTGTTATATAGATTGTGAAATAATTTAATGGTGCCATAATGTAAAAATAGATCCGGTATACAAGCAACAAAGTAGAAAGGTAATTATTGTTTAAAAATGGTTGGTCCCGTTTCTGGATGTACGCCATCCGTTCCAACGTGGTGTGTTGGTGCACAGACCGACCCGAAACGCGCGGCCGGCTGGGACCGCATGATAAAGCGCATCCTGGGCTTCGAGGCCGGCCCCGAGCGGCAGTTCGCCCCCGCGCCCTCGCCCGCCACCAACACCGCCCCCGCGCCCGTGCACGCCCGCGCGCCCGCCTCCGCCGCCGCCCCGATGCCGGTGCCCGTCCACGTCGCGGTGAGTAAAACGCCTGCCCCATCCTTTCCTTTCCTTTCCTCGGGCCCTGGCCTCAAGCCCGGTTTTCGTACCCTTTGCGCCCGTCCGCCCGCACTACAGTACCCTGTTCTGTTTTACTACCCCGCCCCGTCTCGTCCCGTCCAGCCTTGTCCGCTCTCCTCCCCTTCCGACAAACACCTTTGACTAGAACCCGTAATTAGAAGATGCCCTTGGATACGTGTGGGGTAGAAGGCGCAGGGTAAATACCACCTTTTTGATTGGACCCATGAGTAGAAAGTGCACGTGAAACTCAAACCTTTCAAGTGTCTTCCCTGTTGTATAGAACCCGTGAGTAGCAGTAATCTTTGGTTAGAATCCACGAGTAAAACGTATATGTTAAACCAAACTTTTGACTACAACCCTGATTGTCAAAATCCTTATGTTGAATGCGCATTTCGGATGGGACATTAGAATAGAACCCGTATGTACAAGCCAAAAGATTAATGTAACCTCGAGAAAAACCCTTTGAGTTGAAACCAATTGAAATGAAACTTCAATTTGTGAGTAGAATGCCTACACTGAATGCTACCTTCCAGTAGAACACCACTTTCCCTGAAACCCATACGTAGAATCCCATTTGAATTGACCTGTGGGTAGGGCCACCACTGGATGTGGGACTGCGAGTAGAGCATACTCCTTGATACTTCTTGCGAAGATTAGATGGGTAGACATTTGAATAGGTTCGTTGTGAAATTAATTTGGCTGAGTTTGTTGCCATAAACGAAACAGTATTTTCGAAAGCAAGTTTCTTCACGTAGGGCCCACTCTAGTATAAGTTCACATTATTGCTGAATTTGTATTTTGAGTAAATCTTATTTATGGTAGTAATACCTGATAATCTTTTTAATTTCCTCCAAATGATTGTAAAACATCAAAAACCTGTGTTCTATTTTCGTCTTGGTGTTCCAACAGTCTTCACATTGTTTGCTCTAATAAATTTGTAATGAAATTGTTTATTGGACGCAAAAAATATGTGGTCACTTAAAGGGAGATATTTTGAACATTAAGAAACTAGTGAATATTGAAATGAATTGCAAAGCGTGAGAAAATGTAAATACTTATTTATGCGACATTCATTACTCATTAACTGACGTATCGTTAAATTTATCTTTTTCTTGCAGAGTGAAGCACCCCTTAATAAACTTCCTCCTAGTCTGGTGAGCTTAAATTTAAAATTGCATTTTTTTGCAATAATGTAGAATCACTGCTAAGTAACGTTCAGTGAAGCTGTTTTCGATGTGCCTTACTGAATTTCGGCGAATGAGCCTTTGAGTTAAGTAGTTCAGTAAACATACGCTGCATTCTCTTCACTCGTCCTGAACAGCTCCATTCTAAATTAAACGCTGTTGCTATACTTGAAAGTCAGGTTGCTGAAAGTAGATTGAGAGCCCAAACCTTAATATTTCAAAGTTCATGTAGTATGCTTTGTCTGGAGCTTGTAGTTGTATAATTGTTTAGAAGTACCTATTTATACGTAGAAGTAGTTGTATCCCGTATGTAATATTGAATGGTAAGAAAGTTTTTAATGGCAGCCCTGAGCGACTGTCATAAGAAAGATGTCCAGTTTAAGGGAGAGAGAAAAGAAAGAAAACCGAGACAGCATGGCTGACGTCAGGTGTTGTTTCGTTTATGAAATGTAAGTAGAGAGCGTGATTGAAGCAATCACAGCGAAGTTGAGGACTTCGCTTTAGGAAGAATACTCTGGAATGAGCCGTTTACGATTCTACTGGAGTGTTTATGTTAAAGATTGATAACATCATTAGTTTTGCTGGTGTTATACATCTTTTGTAATCAACGGTGAGTATTGTAAAACTTCCATTATTTTGTGGTCTACTATACTTTCTAAGGGATTTAAAGCAACCGTTAAGCGAATGCGATGCTCGTCAATCACGATCCACCTGCGAAGTGCCAGGCTTCCAGTTGCGACGATGAAGCATGGGCTCGCTGAATTCAATATGTTTTGACCATGGTCGTCGTGGAATTGAAACTGGGAGACTAACGGCAAATAACTACATCCATAATACTCTTTCATTCTGTTTCCTCGTTGCCAATCTTTATTAATATAGAGAGGGAGTGAGGGATTCCAAAAAAACTATTTGAAATTGCCCATTGGCCTTCTCTGCAGTACGCTTAAACACAGCAATGGTACAGTTTATTACGTTAGTCTTAATTATCAATGTTGTATTTGAAATCAGTATAGTTCAATTAATAGAGATTTAGGATCCAAAACTGTGAGAACGTTTGTTCACTTAATTTTTGAAGGTGAATTGCATAAGACCATTCTTAGTGCAATTTCCATGCGTGAGCCGGCTCCCAGAGTTGGTCGGCAGAGATAAGTTTCAGCCTGCGTATTAACATGTAGCTTACTTGGCGTAGCTGGCAATGCATACATACGCCTATCTTCAGATCCTGTCTCGAAACTAGATTTTCAAAGTGATGAATTTAAACCAGGAAAACCGTCTCAGCTATAGGAACCCTTTTATTACCCTCTATATCCACCTCAAATTCCATTAGAAATAAGCGAGACTATAAACTATTCGAAAGGGAGAAAAGGCAAGTAGCTTATGTATCATTATCATATTTACATACGCATTTCGCATCTGTCAGGCTAAGCAAGAAAAATGTCATACACTTGCGGCCTGTAATGTTCTTTGTAACGTCATTTAAGGAATAAGATGGGAAATGATATAATTGATTATTAAATATTGTTTGCTTGTCAATCACAAAATACAAGTGGCATGCTAGCGGAAGCCGGGTTGGGTGAGGGTCAGAGGCATCTGGGCGTCGCCCCTATCCTCCTAATATAATTATCTTGAAAGGTGTTTAAAGGCAGATGACAGGGAACAGATGGTCAAACAAGCCCCAGAATATCTTTGTATTGTGAATTTATAGAACAATCGCTGATGTAGACCTTTGTTTGCTTCTGGGCTGTACAAGTAGCTTCACTGAACTCCTCTCCAGCCGTGAGATGAAACGTAATTGCTCGAAGACGTAAATTAATATTAGTGGGTCTTTGCTCGAAGCGCGTAGGCATATAATAGCGGTCGCCCATCTGGCCAGGAAGGCGGCAGCGCCGTAGATGGAGGAGGCTCGACCGGCACTTTCCCTTTCCCTTTCCTCGCGGCGGCGCGGGGAAAGCTGCGGCCTTCCGGGGGCCGCCCGCCGCCCACTGCCCGGCGTCGCGCCGCCGCCGGTCCGCCCCGCAAACTGCCCGGTCGGCCGCGTGGGCGGTGCTCCATCCGCGGCGCCCAGCGTGCCTCTGCGCTTTGTCTCGGGGCGGTGCGAGAAGGCGGGGACAGCCAGGGTATCATGGGACCGGCTGCGTTGCCCCTGCAGGACTTTTGGTCTGTCAACCCCCGATTGTAGCGGGTTGACGACACACTCTACATAACTGGGTCGAGTTCAACCACTACTGGCTGGAACAGAATTGAAGCGGCGGGCTCTTAGTTTGCAATGGGTTCTCCGATATACACCGGACGAACTCCCTTCCAGCAGAACACCACTGGAGGGGAGGGGTCAACGGCGGATCTTGGGATAAATTGCAGTAGAATTGAAACATTTTGTACATTTACCAAAAAATGATACAGTATTTAGCAATAAATATAATAAATTTCTGCATATTTGTGTTAAAATATTTTGTTTTTGAGGTATGGCAAGAGCGCGTTTATTTTGGACATTTTCTATACTTGCTGTCCTTTCCAAAGAACTAGTCATGTATACAATTGTTCAGCATTCGCCGTATTGCTTGGAAGCGATTACGCGTGGCGGCAGTTTTGAATTACTATACGATGAAACTATCGCTTAGTTTAGAAACATTCACGTCCTAAACGGCAACTCCTTTCCTCAAACTTGATGTAGTCCCTGTAGAATCGCGTAGCAATAAAACTTGTGGAATAGACTATCGAGTCGTATGATCCCGCCGTCCATTCAGTGAGGTATACCACCTAAATTACTTCTTCAGAATCGCAAAGTTGATCAATCCTAAAAGCGATATCAAGGTGGGGGGAGGAGGATAGGGGCGACGCTGGGGTGCCTCCGACCCTCAGCCAAACCGGCCGCTGCTAGCATGTCACCTGTATAAAAGTTCGGTTAATAAATAATAATCTCTATTCAACTCATCTACACAAAGATAACGGGGGCAAATACGACGGAGTACCACCGTCTCCCTTGCCTCTTGCGTGACCGCGTGTCGCAGTTTTCGGCTCCTGGCCAGAGCGCAATCTTTAAAATAGTGCTTTGCTGCTATAAGCCTGCGATTAAGTCAGCCATGGGCGAGGGAGAAGCCGGTGCTCGACACGACGTCGAAGGGGGGGGGGGCGAACCAAGTGTTAGCAGGTAGCTCCAACAATCCCCCAGCTTGAGCGGGCGTGGCGAGGACCGCGCGCGTCGTGCAGCAAAAGTGATTCGGAATTCAGTATGTTAATTTTGGCTACATATGGTAAATATTTCAGTTTTGTAACGGGGGCTCTAGTTGGGTAATGCTTAGGGACGTGCTGGGAGGCGCGCCGTCGCTCTTGGCTGACGCGCCCGCGCGCGTGTTGCAGTACCCGGTGCCGCCGGTGGAGGACGACAGCGCCAACAAGCAGATGAAGAAGCTGGCGCGTGACTGGATCGTGACGGCGCTGAGCGCGCCGCAGTCCATGCTGCAGATCGCCGTGCAGTTCCGCCACATCGTCGAGGGCTTCTGGCCCTTCAACGACCCCGCGCGCATGGTGAGTCTCGGAGAACTACATACCCTCCTCCAAACCATCTTTAACCCTCACCCCCATCCTCGAATTCAGCCGCTGTCTGAAGGAGAACTCTAGCAAGCGTCTGCTCTGATCGTGGTTTCTCCGATCAGCACCCAGCGAATGCTGGAGCAGTACCATAACAAACAGGCTTCTGACCGCACGCACTATTTCCTTCATCTTGCTTCTCCTATCCTCATTCCTTACTTCAATACACGCTTGCACGCACTACTTTACCAGACATGCCGGGAATCCAATCGGGAGCTTAAAGCTTGTCCCGGCTGGAGCGATGCCCCGCTAGTGGGCGATACTGGCTGAGGAAGAAACCGTAAGGCAACGAATAGGTTGGCGCAGGATCTCACCATCTCAGGAACATGACCGTCACATCCTGCGATAAAACTTGCACTACATGTACGAGATTATTTACCATAATAGTCGACGCGCCCGGCAACATGAAAATAATCTAATCTACAAGTCGTTTAATGCTATTAGTATAATCACTCATGAAATAGTACGAAGGTGTTCTAGCTCTCTGTGGCAGCTAATACAGAACAGACAACAGGCCACGGACCGTGCGCAAACTATTTTCACATCCTCTTGCCATCCTCTCCACTTATACTCACATGCGTACTTACATGCACTACACTACCACACAAGGCGGAAGATCAGTCGACATGTTTGTGTTTGTCCCGGCTGAGAAGATTCCCGGTGGGGCGGGGAGATATCTCCGTAGCTGCGTATAGGTCGACACCGGATCTCACATTAATGCAGGAGAAACTCCGCCATCTCCCAAGTTGTAACAGGCACTCCACTTAGGACACCAGTGGCCAATAAATATTCATTTGTTGGGGAATCCGAGCGCAGATAGGTGCAGTGGTAGAGATGTGTGTGTGCGCAGAACGTGCCGCACCCGGAGTTCATGGACATCATCGCCGAGGAGATGCAGACGATCCTCGTCAAGTGCGAGGCGCCGACGCAGGGCTACCCGTGCGTGGCCGCGCAGCCGCACTCGCTGCCGCACTTCTGCAACTTCATGCTGCTGCTGGGCCACTTCGTCGCGGAGGTGAGCAACCGAGGCGCGTGTCGTCTACGCGAAATGCGCGAAGACCTGAGTGCACTCGGGTGCAAATGAATCCGAACAAACCTGATCTAAAATATTTTTTTATGATTAATGTCGGTGTTTGCTGGTTGATGTATTTGTCTTCGGTGTTTATTAGTGGAGCAAAATAAATAATGAATTTGCGAAATTGTTGAATAGAGGTAATTACTGTAAGCATCTTATTATGTAGGTGTCATATTATTTGCAGTGAACGTTCTATTTAGAAAATTGTTCAGAAAAAGTCCTTGTTATATTCATTAGAGCCTGATTTGTATCAGGACGGCAAACCGATGTTCAGAAGCCGCCTCTAGTGTTTGTTAGTATGTTTGTAAAGTATTCAACTAATCATTTTGAATTTCCTCGTTAATACAAGGCTGATTTTAATCTTTAGTAATAATTCATAAGGGGCTGTCCATAAATTTACGTAACGCAAATTTGGAGTATTTTGAATGTAAATGTACAAAGTGAAAATAGGTTTTTTTACTGAACTATAATTTATCATTCATTCAGTAACAACTTCTAATAACTTGAAATAATTTTGTTTAAAAAAATGAAATATTTCAACAAATGTTTTAAAAAAAATTAAAATATTCAATGTTACATAACACTAATGGAATAACCCCTACCCCTACGTAACGCTGCAGTAAACCCCGTCCCCCTCTTTAGTCTTACGTAATTTATGGACGGCCCCGATGTACTGTATAAATATATTTGAAGATAAAACATACCTCATTGTATAGAAGTGTGTACCATATTTTTTAGCAATTTAAGTAACGTTTGTAACCTTTAATCCATTAGGTATGTAATATGCAAATTCAATACATATGCACATGTGTTGAAATCGTTTTTTGGACATAAGGTTTAATTTCTATCCCGTGAGTGCGGTGCGTCTGCATGCTCAGTTTACGGCGCTGCCGTTCGACGTGCCCGAGTTCCTGTTCCACATCGCGTTCCGCGCCTGCAACCTGTGCCTCAAGTCGCCGCTGCAGCTGCCCATGGCGCAGGCGCTGCTGCGCGTGTGGAAGACGATCGGCTGCGAGCTGGAGACGCGCCTGGGCGACTTCCCGGAGCTCGTCGACGCCGTCCGCGACGCCGTCATCTACGGCAGCCGGGCGCTGGGCGCGCGCGCCGACCCCAAGGTTCGCTCGCTCGGTCGCGTTCTCTCGCGTTCACTCATTCTGCCACTCACTCGTGCTCTCGCGCGTTTATTCTCTCGCGCCTTTATTCACTCCACTCGTTCATATGCTCGTTCGCACTTCACACGCTCGTTTATCATCCGCTCGCTATTTCGCGCGCTCGCTTTACAGGTTAAGATTTTACTAAAATGCTAATTATAGATATTGCGCGAGCGTAGGAGTGGCAAGAGAGCGCCGACCGTGTTCGCAGGAGCTGCTAGTGGAGGCGCTGGAGCTGCGCTGTCGAGGCTGGCGCCCGCCGCCCCCGCCCGGCCCCGCGCCCTCCGCCGCCGGCAAGGGCAGCGGCGAGGGCGCCGGCGGGGCGGAGGGCGAGGGCGGAGTGGGCGGCGGCAGCGCGCTGGCCGACGCCCTGGCCCGCGCGACGGTGCGGCGCGCCGCCGTCGAGGCGCTGGGCGCCGCGGGCGACTGGGCGCCCCCTCCCCCGCCCCCGCAGCACCAGCGGCCGCAGCCCACGCCGCTCCTCCAGCAGCTGATCCAGCCCCCCGCGGGCCACCCGCGCGCGCCGCGCCAGCACTACCCCTTCTGAGCGGTGAGCACTCCTTCGCGCGTGCGGTCCTCTCCGGTGCACTTCGTTTGTTCATTCGGAAGAAACTGGATCTAAATGCAATTGCTATAGAGCGATTTTTACAAGAATGGACAGCTAGTGTTGGCAACACAACTGAAGGTTCCGAGATCATTGTTCTTGAGGCTCTTCTTCCTGCAATCGTTCGTTTTCAGTTGGCTAACTTGTAACTGGTTTCAACGCTTCCTTTTGTGATGTCCTCGTCCGACGAAAATATAGTGCGCCAAAAACCTTTTTAAGAAATTTTCTCGCATACGTAATTATATTTCCAGGACTCACGTACGTGCATATACCTGAGCAAAACTCTTTAGACTTCCCTATATCTTCTCGGGAGCCAAACAGAACATTTTACAAAGAGCAGCTGACGCGCGGAGGGATACTTCTCTAAATTACACGTGATGTTCACTTGTTTAGCGAACTGTCACCTTTGCTTATAAAAATCGCTCCACACATGGCGAGAATGCGGTTTTCCAGTTACCGAGTGTACTTTTATCATTCTGATTTTTTTTAAATATATCTATTTTCTATGCAGTATATTTGTGGCTGTACTGATTCGTACTATTACTCAATATTATGCATCCCACCTGCTTCGACACACGTGTCCCATAGAGATTTCCATGCGTTATTTGCGTCCTGGAAGACCTTTACTGAGATGTCCTTTACTAACCTCGTCGTAGCCGCTTTGATGTTCTCCTGGCTCCCCAAATGCTGTCCAATGAGGAATTTTTTAAATATTCGAGAACAAAAAGAAGTCGGACGGGGTGAAATTAAGACTATACGGCGGCCCGGAGAGCGTCCTCACAACACTGCAATAATTCTTGACACACTTCCACTCGATTGTTCTTTTAGCAATCGATGAGCACTCTCGGGAAAAGTTTGGCTCACACCTTCCGAATTTGTGAATTTTCCCATACAATCTTGTGTACATTGCTCTTTCGAATGTCAAAAATGTCTGACATTAGGCGAACACTCATTATTCAATCAGAGATCAACAATTTGCACATGTTCTCAACCGATCTTTCATTTCGCGACGTTGAGGGGCGACCTGATGGTTGTTCGTCGGCGAATTCACGACCCTTCTTGAACATTGTATGCCATCTTTTGCACTGTGAAAATGATATGCAGTCCTCATCAAAAGCCTTCTGAAGTAACTGGAAAGTCCCTGACGACGTCTTCTCAAGTTCGAAACACAACTTTATCGCGTATCGCTGCTCCAGAGTATTTTTCCGTCTTAATTTCGTCCATGCACTCGTACAAGGGTTCACTCAAACAGGCACTGTGACGCTCCAGGAGCTCGGAGTCGATTGGTGTGGGTCGCGCTGTGTTCTAAGACGCCCACACTCCCGTGCAAGTGGCAACGCTGTGCGATGGATAGTTGCGGCAGAACAAAATATGGCGCATTAATTACAGACTAAAATTAAATCCTACCCGGTTACGTGCGCAGGAGTTTGGTGATTCTAATCAGATCTATTGTAGATGGCATTACATCAAGGCTCTAAGGGCAGAGTAATTTTTAGATAGATTCATTATACGGTAAAATGCTCGAAAATATATTGTAGTACAGTGACGTCTAATTTAGATCGGCGGATTTTACAGAAGCTTTAAAGCTCGAGGCATTAAAACTCAACAAACGCCAGTTCAAAAACCCGTCAATAATCTAATTCAGCAAGCAGAGGATTTATTACAAAATGATCTTGAAATGCGAATATGTGGAGTAAGAGGAATTTCTGAACATTCGTCGTATTCTTCTTCCTCTTTTCCTTTGTTTTCCATTATTTTCTCATTCTGTGTCTATAAAGTAATCCCCGTCATTGAATTAAATACATAACTTTATTGCACATGTTCTCACCACACACATTCTCGGCTCGTCGCTTTTTTAGTGTATAAAACAATAACTTGATTTTCAAAGCGAAACATTTCTTATAGGTAACTAGATATTCTTCTTGGGGCCACTTCTAAAATGAGCTTCACCTAATTGCGAATTATTTGTGTAGTAATTTATTCTAGATATTTTTGTCCATTATTGGAATCTTAGAATTGCAGCAGTATATTAATTTAATGTTTTGCACATGTACCCAAAGTTTTATATAAGATCATAATGGCAGCAATGCTGCTAATTTTAATGTTTGTATATAATAAATAATTATTTATTGGGTGCTGTTACAGAAACGGTGTACTTGACGGTGCAGCTGGTACGAAACCCTATGATGGCTATTGAAACCTACATATTTGCAAGATGTCACTGTAAATCAAATTTTAAGATACATGTGAAAACGATGTAAATTCATGAAAATGACGAAAATTTGAAATATATTTGAAATGTATTTGGATTATGTAAGAGATTGCGACTGTATTTATACTATTGTTACTCAGAAGTGTATTTGGTACACAATAAATGTTTTGTGAGTCCTTCCAACTGAAGTGATTATGACGCAATTGCATTACTCCTTTTCATCATGCTAATATTTAAGTGTGGTTAAAAAAGTTGAATTTTTTACACATCCGTTCTATACATAATACGCCAAGGTAAGAGAACGGTTTTTGACAATTTGTTCTAACACAACTATATCAACTATAAACAAAACCCCGTAAATAAATTACTGCTGGATAGGGAATCCCCCCCAGGGTGCAACAAGCCCATTTAAGACAAAAACTTTAGAAGTTTGTAAGATACGTTAACAAGAGTTCACCAAGCAAGAATACATGCAACCCACATCACAGGTAACGCTGTACGCACGTACCATAAACGCACTAAATTTATGAGGAGAAAACTACGGCCTGTGGAGACTATTGATCACCTCCCTTCTGCAAAAGCCGCCTAGTGCTGACGATCGCGGCGAGGTCTGTTAGCCGGCCTTCTGTTCTGGGTCCGTCTAGTCCCTAGATCAGATTAGCGCGTTGCATTGCCCCGCAGATCCCGCCATTTTATATTCGGTTGTCAGGGGAATTCGAACTGTGGAGAGCCACTATTCCACAAAAAGCAACATTAATATGCTCGAAAACCTCCATCCTTAATTGTCATCATTTTTCCGTCATTGCCGAGTGCTGCCTGACAGGGCTGTCGGGCGATGGAATATTAGATGGCTGCGGCGCTTCGCGTTGCGCTACTTTCTGCGTGCAGGGTGTCTCAGCCGTGTTGCCCCGCGGCAGCTCGTGGACCAGCCCCACTCGCAGCTGTGCACGGTGGTGACGTCAGCCAAGCACGCTCTGAACCGACGGGTATTGTATCGTACGTACGAAAACTGTCAAAAATCCCTTATATTGGTGTGAATCTCATAAAATCTACTAGTTTTTATGACAAAACAACTTGAGAAGCAGTTATTTGAGCAAAGTATCATTGCCTCCATTGATATCGGATGCTCATTTAATGACAAATTTTTGAAAAATAAAAGATCTCCAAATTCAGAAAAAAACAAAAATAGCTTTAATAACCAATCATACTCCAAGCTTAAAATATATTTTTAACATTAGTATGAGAAATGTCACAATTTCATGAACTAACCAGAAAAGTTTTAAACCGTTTTTCTAAACTTTAACAACTTTGACCGCCACTTCAGCTTAAAAACAGCAGTCTGTAAGGTTCGTGCGATCCAAATGCCCTCCCTTTTAACTTCGAAAAATCTTTATTCGCAAGGAAAGAAAAGACTGTTGCCCCATCTTAGTTTTGGGGAATTTGAAAAAAAAGTACCCTGAGCCTTAAGGACGTGTCTCTAAAATGTTTGAAACGATTCACCGTATTAATAAGTATACTTCAATAATGATCTACTACAGTCGGTTCAGGTATGCGAGAGATTGTTTTGACTGGCTGGCGAGATCCGGCGCCGACCTACCCGTCGGTTTGCGGGGTTTTCCCCGACAGGGTATCCCCCTCCAGCGGCCTTCTGGCGGAGCAAAGCGCCCCAACCAGGACAAGCTCTCGACCGGTCTCTGAATAAGACTTCGATATGTAGCTAGTGTGAAAAATCCTGTCACCGTCGGGTGTGGATCCCTAGGGCCTGGCGGTAAGAGGCACTCCAGCGGCATCAATTAATGCCCTGAACCACTTAAACCAGAGATTCGAGATTTTAATGTCCACTAAAATTGGCATAGTGATGTTTCATTTTCCATTTTCTAGGCAGTTTGCTTATTGGTTAGATTAAGCAAATATAATCTAGAAGAAGCCGCGAAAGACGCGACGCGAAAAGTCAATTTTTTTCTAGCAATTTGTTTTGCCTTGAGGTATAAAATTTGAATTGCAAAATGGGCCGAGTACCCTGTGTCCAACCCAAAGACGAAGGTCTTTAGTGTTTCAGAAATATAAATTTCGTTTTTATATTTTATTCAATGACCCGGCCAGTGGCATGGTTCCATGAATTGTCGATCTGCTATGTCAGCGTGACAAAACGTATTAAGCACGTGCTATGGAACGAGATGGCGCGTGACTCGATGGAGATCGGCCAACCATAAAAAGCCAGTGATCGAGGAATCCAGTGCCCAAAACTCTCTCTTTATTCTCTGCTTAAGCCTTCGTCAATCTCCATCGCTAAATGTGTCTTTTATTGCCAACGGCAAATCATCACTTCCTCAGAACCACACATTTTTCTTGATACAATGTTCATGATAGGTTTTGCGTTTCTCTCTTTTCCCCCTATTCGTAACCTTTGCCGAAATTTGCTTTCCTTCGCCCGTTTCATAGCTTCTGAACAAGCCGGCAAAAAATAGTTGTGGATGTTAGAGGAGATAGTTATTACAGCAAGAAAAAAAATTAAATTAGGAGTGACGTTTGCGAACAAACTACCCCACCACCTTTACAATCTATTCTAAAATTAAATAAATAGATATAAACTACGAATTGAAGACTTATTAATGTCAAACATTTCGTAGATAATGAATGACATTTATTTGTTAGTACAAAGATTTTTGGTAATTTCATCACGTGGCGATTACGATTTTTACTTTCTCGATCTTACTTGGTAAGAAGACAAATTATTGTAATCGTGCGCCGGAAAAGAGCGAATTTTCGGCAGAACATTTCATATTGCCGGGCCCTGATAACGAAAAAGTGGATAAATCTTGTTCATATATATATATATATATATATATATATATATATATATATATATATATTGAAACGAAGTACGTTTCTGTATTAGCAACAATTAAAATGATCACTAATTTACAAATTAAAATTAAGTACTGAGTTGAATCAGAGCAGTAACGCGGCCGCGCCGCCGCCGCCACCAACCGGTCAATCGGAAGGGGAAAACGCGAGGCGAGCGACAGTTAGTGGTGCGCGAGGGCCCTCGTCTCGAGTGAAGCACGGACGGGCAAAAGTGCTGCGCTCCCAAGAGATTATTTGTCGTTGTTTAGTTGGCAATTTCGACTGAAGTGTGGAACCTAAGGTTGATAAGATTAAACCAATCAGATGAATTAGTGGAAGTAGAATTGCGCACGAACTGAATAAAACGCAATAAGACTGGTAATCGTGTGGCCGGTGGGCTCGTGTCATAAATCTCGGGATTGGCGTCCTGGTATAAATATAACAGTGGGGCAAGTTACTAGTATAAGGACATCCGCGGAGAAGTCGAGAAAGGTGGTGTGACAGAGAGGCTTGAGAGAGGACACAGCGACGAACATTCAATCACGCGTCGTGCGTTCCATACGTGAGACATTGTTCACAGCCGGCTGGAGTGGATCCTGGCGAATTCATGGCCGTTATGTTGGACAGAGGAGTTTGATGCCGCAGGGGAAGGCGCGAAGTCCGCGGCGGACTTCGGGGCGAACAAAAGATTTGCCGACAGACAACGCCGCCGTTACACGATGGCCCCGCTCGCCTCCGAGGAAGCAGATGGTTTTTTAAAACATCAAGGTAAGCGTTGACCGTGCACTTGTTTCCCAAGGCTCTGCGCATTGTGATTTGTAAATCTGTTTGGGTAAAGATGGTTCTCTGATCATGTAAAAATATTTAGATGTTGCAAAAGAATTTATAACGATTACTTCCTATGCTACACCAAATTCCTGGAGACCCATTTACGAAAATGTACCTGTCCCATGCATAATTTATTTGTCATGAAAGAACCGCTTCCCAGGTACGTCACAATGTATAATATTACTGCCTCTAACCTGTGGTATAGCCACAATCCACGTTTTATGGGTCCTTGATACTGAAAAATAGATTGACAGCAAAACGACTACGGTCAATTCTAGCGCCTAAACCGTTGAACCTATTTTCTCCAAAATTGATATTCCCCGATCGGTGTTTTGATTTAATTTTCTCTTTGGCGTACAAGACGCTTAATGGTGCAGGTCTCATGATGTTGAAATCCCTGATTTTTCGAAAATTACAAAGTTGCAATTTTCTTTTTGGGGGGTCTTGCTACAACTACAATACTGCAGATAGAGATTTTTCAGTAAAGAAATCTGTTATTTAAAGACATCTTGAAATAGATCATGCTCAATTTTTCGAAAGTATGTGTAGTTGGGTTGCGCAAAATAATAGACAATTTCAATGTTTTATCAATCGCTCATTTTTTTTCTTTTAAATTTTCTCGTTTGAATTAAAGAACGGGTAAAATAGTTGGTGATAGTGCCATTTTCGTAGAACTCACCAAATTTTTCAAAATTGCAAAACGCTAACATATGAAATCTACAAAATTGAGAGTTGCGATTTTTGTCTCGCGCAATGTTTGTTCTAGAAAATCTGCTCTTTAAAAAAGGCCATGTACAAGGTTTAAAAAAACAAGTAGATTTTTCGTAATTTATATCTTAAATTTTTGCAGTTTCTAAAAACACTATTTTCTCAAAACTTTACCTTCAGTTTTTTTCATTAAAGTATTTCCACTTACAGCGTACAAAAACATTTTTTTTAAAATAAATATTATTTCGCCAACCTTGATGTCATATAATTTACGACGGGCCTGTGTCTGAAATCTCGCAAAGCTATGACGTAATTTTCCGCATTCACGTACGGCCGCTGTCTTTTTCTCGGCGATTCTCGAGGTCTCGGTCGTCTTGTTTTGCGGGGCGCTTCAGCGGGACCCCTCGGCGCAACGGGACCGCGGGGTCATGAATGCAGAGGCCACTAGCCAATGACGTCACCCTCTTTCTTCTTTCACGCGTCACGATCTATCTCTTCAGAGGTTCAAAGATGTTAAGATTGCGTCATGCCCTGAAGGGTGACGCTCACCGCTGGTTCTTTAAGATCGGGGTCGGGTACTCGTGTCATGTTTCATACGGTGTTCCAATCAAGCTATTTTTTATGGATGTAGTTTTCAAGTTGCATAGTAATGTCTTAAATATCTTATATTTCTTATATTTATTGTTTTGATGAATTAACATTTCATTTACACATCTCAACATTTACTTAATTCATTTCTGTTTTTTAAACATACTGTAATCTTTATGTACTTATTATAACCATTCCATTTTTGTGTTTCCTCCTATGACAAAATTTTACACAACAATTCATCACGGTCACGGTACGCATCACGGATTCTTGCTATTACATAGGGCAAGTAGTGGTGCTAAAACAGCACGTACTTTCTTCCCCGTATTTTCACGCAAGATTATGCGAAAATTACCGCAATTGACGAAAAATTGAACACAACCTTATTTTAAAATCGATCTTTAAAGAAAAGATTTACTGATCGATAGAGGAATGTCGAGTTCGGAGAAAGTAGGCGTTAAGGCGCTAGCGTTGTTCACACACGGACCGACGGCTAGGCAGAGAAAGGCGTTTTGACGTCATTCAATTTTCTCGTATCAAACATCCCCAAAACATGGATTCGGGCTACACCACGTGTTAAAAGATTTTTTTAGATAAATTTAGCAATTGGATTTATGAACTTTTTGCATTACCATGGCCCTGTAAGAGTTTTTCTATCGAAAATTCACCTTTAATTTTCGCGCGGCATTACATACTAACTACTCTCTACTCATACTAGTTTTTCCTCGACCTATAATAGCATACTTTACTGCTTAATTTATTACTACACACCTGGACTGGCGTCCAGAGGAAGGGACAACTGAAGCTCTATTGCAAAGAGCACCGCGAGGGAGTGTGCGTCAACTACTTTAATCCCGTAAGTAAATTGCATGTTACATCCCGCAGTAGTGGTGTTCCTCTTCCTTTGGAACATGAGATCCGACGCTAAACTACACATTGGCTTGCGAGGTTTCCTCCAAATGTCTCCAACAGTTGACCACCGCTACAGCGAGGATAAACTCTAAGCCCCCGACGTAGTGCAGTGTGTGTATGCAGGCGGGAACAAGGGATGAGGAATGAAAGATCTCGCGCAGTTGTTAAGGTACTCTGGCATTCGCTCAGTACTGATCGGAGAAGCCATGGAAAACTACCGGTCAGACAGCCGGAATCACAGCAATTAAAATTCTCCTCCTGATCACGCGTCCCCTGAATTCAGCCTTTGATCGCATCGTGATGACAGCGGCGGGTCTGTCGTTGTGAGTAGTAAGTGCCCCAGGAAAGTCTCTCTGCACCGAAGGGATCTTATTAAAAATCGCGTTTATGTCCGTAGCAACCAGATTACTGGGAAACAAGTGAAGGGGACAACACATTCAGCATCTGTTATGATTGTGGTGACTACGCAATTTTCGTTTTAATTTGTTACAGGCTGATTCGTGCTAACAACTTTTTTTTTTTGCTAGCCCTCTCACCAGCAAGGTGCCACTGCTGAGACTTTCCTGGCGCACTGTAATTGAGGAGCCACTCGTGGATCGTTGCGAGTGAGTTGTAGATCGGGTTAACAAAAATGATGGAAACCACGATCGTTGTGCCACTCGGTATGGCCATATTTATGTTAAAAATACATTAAGTCTTCGTGTCTACATTTATATTTTCATTGCGAATGATCCTTCTCTCGAAGCGTCCTTAGCGGCTAGGCGCATTCAGTCGTCGCCGTTTGGGAACTGTGGCATCGTCTCCGGCCGCTAGTAAGCAACGCATGAGTCTGGTGCGCCTGGCCCTGAAATTGGAATGTCTCACTGTGTCTCAATCTACCAGGTAGCGGTTGAAGGAAGCATTGTGTCATTCGTAAAACCACAGTAGCCTGCTGCTGATTTGTAGACAGCTTGCGTTTCGGCACTTCTGAAATGTGGCATACGAGTACTCCGATTACGAATATTGTTTGTTCTGCACCTCCTCCTGAGAATCAAAAATGATCTCATATTGCCTAAACCGTGACGTTTAATTCTTAATTCAGTTTTGAAATGTTTTTCGTGCTAGTATTTCTTTATTGTCTTTCTGCGCACGAAACATATGGATCATTTCACTACGATTACATTTTAATATTATGATTGGCAGAGTTTTAACCACAAATTGAAGGATATATATTGGGTAGAAAATGTAAATTGTTTTTAAATATTTCTAGGAGTGTACTCTGCAGTCTGTTGTCGGCTGCAAATGAAAAGTGGCTGAATTAATAATCCTTAGATCACTAAAAGTCTGTCTTCAATTCATTTGCGTGACTCTTAATTGTTGATTTGAATGTACCGGAAAAATGAAATGTTTACTATCGAATTTCGTTTTAATAATACCTCTTTTTTACCAATACCTGGCTTCAGAAAAATAGTCCTTTGCTACCTAATCTGGGCATAATACATCTAATGCCCAGTTTTCAAAGGAAGGTAATCAAAATTCTATGTTTTGAGCTTCTGCCGTTTAAATGTCGATCACATCGCTTGAATTAAACGTATTATTAATTTAGCGCTGTTAGCTATTAATTTTAAATTGAAGTGATTTAAATTGACATTAGTAGGGAAATATTACATTTCAAAACTTAATTTTGAGTTGTTTGTTGCTTTTAGTAACTGGGGTGACGATGTAATAAACTTTATTGCAACAACATTCTCACAGTTCTTTGAACGATTTACACGAATTCTATTTGACCTCACTCAACGGTAGGGTTTCTTTTCTTCGTGGAAAAGCTACACCCACACCCTCCCCAGTCGATGTGTCATAGTAGTATGATTGCTAGTATATCACAAAATGTGATGAAACATTGTCAGACAATTAGTGGAATGTTGTTTTCGTATATGATTAGTGTTTTCCAAGAAATACGCCAGTCGAAGTCTTTTGTTAAACTCACACGAAAGATGCTGATTTCTAACAAGCTGTCACTTGTACAAAGCACATTTATTTCAATATTATTTCATCACTTAAAAGTTATTTTATTATTTATTGATATTTTAAAATATTTATTCAAATATAAATAAAATACCCTAATGTATTTTTCGGGGACCGTAGTCATTGTTAACTTTGTTCCATGATTCATTCCTGCATATTGAATTTGCATGAATAATGGCGTCTTTCCCATCATGATTTTGTCCCATTTTATGGGTCGAGCAGTAATAATTAAAATCAAGAGTTCATTGATTTACCCCAAAGTCATCAATTCCTGGAGACAAAATAGGGCGGAATTAAATAAAGTTTTGTGTAGTTAAGACATAGGCGTCTTCCCAGGGCACCTTTTTACATCTCACTGAAAAATTTTGAAATGGGGCGTAGCCCTAAACACTAAAACAAATTTCCGTATAACACCACATTCCTGATTTTTCCCCTTTTTTAAGCTGTTATCTAAGGGAATTGATACATTTCATTGGGAAAAGCTCTCCAAACAATCTGTCAACTCTGTAAATGCGTCAACATAAAATTAATTGAATATCGGTTTTATTTATAATCTAGTAAAACATGACACGTGTAAAAAATAAGTTCAATGGAAAAGATAGAACCAGAAATATAGTAGTCCCCCTTTTATTATAGGCTGCGCACGCCGCCTATAATACGCGCCTAGAGATCACTATTCTTACATCTAAGGGTTATTTCAGACGTTTTAAATCGCATTTTGGTTCAGTAATTCATAAACAGGTAGGCGGGAATAAATGTGACAAACATTTTATCGACAGTGCGATCTGCAGGCGAGTAATAGTAATTTAGTGGGAGCGAGAGTAGGCATTTAATCAATGCGAAAATGTCTCACACAAACTGACAGTAAAGGAGAATTGGAATTTTACGAAGAATATAATAAATTTACTCCTGAGTGCAATACATTAATCTCATATATTTGTAATATATAGTGCACACCAGCACTAAAAATAAAACGAACGTTTAAACGAAGCTGTTGAATTTATTGTGCGATTTTGCTTAAAAAACATTGTTTAATGAGAAAATTTACTGTGTGCCATATCTAGTATAAATTACAATTTTGCATGTGCAATTTATTTTTGGAATGAAATTTAGCAATAACGACTTTCATTCTTTTTTTTCTGGAGAATTAAATTATTTACGTTATCAAGTTCAACGATATAAAATAATTAACATAGTGGATATGGATCCAATGAAATGTCAGTCGAGAGTAAATAGACTTACACTCTTTCATTATATAAAGTGACACTTAAATGGAATTGAGATCAGACTCGTAGAAGTAGTATTAGAAAGCAGTTTTGTAATACATAATCTTCTTCTACCTTCGAACAGCATTCGTCTGTCATTTCCGAGGATGAGTAGTCAAATGTAATATACTTAAAATTACGGAATGATAGGAACGTACGATTTTATATTATCTTATTACAGTACTCGATTTAATTTTATTCCCTTGTGCTATTTATTTATTGTCAAACAGTAAAGTCTTAGGAGTTTTTATTGAGACCGGATTCCCAACCCTCTCTTTTCTAAACATAGTTGAATGTATTATTCATTAATAATATTATATTAAAGCGTAAGTCGTATGGCCATACCTAGTAATGGATGAATGCTTTTGATGAGTTGGAACTTGTGAAGATTCCATGCAACGACGCAATAATGGTAAAATGAGAGAGGGCAAACGGGTGAACTCCGACGAAACCTGCCGCGAACTCACTTTTTCCTCCACAAATTCCACGTGGAACTGCCGGGATTTGATCCCCACTTCCCCGTGGTGGAAAGCGAGTGGTCTGTACACTACACCACAGGTCGCCCCTGCCCGTGCCAGCAACAAGATCCACTCCAATCGTTTGTCACATTTAATACATTTAATCATATCACATTTAATAAAAATAAAAGTTCGCAACCATGCTATAGTCACAATTGCTGAAAAGGAAGACCTACAGATTTGATTTGATGATTGTACTGACACCCGCCGACGACAATGTTAGAGCGAGAGCAACAAGGGGAGTGTGGAGACTGCGACGCGGGAATATGCGAGGAACTCACCGTGAACGCCAGCGCGCAGAGGGCCACGGCCGCGAGCAGGCGGCGGGCCGTCGCCGTCCCCGTCGCCGTTGCCGTCTCGACGCCCATCCTCTCAGCTGCTTGACTCTCTCCTCGACTCTTCCGGACGTCTCCCTCGCACACGCACGCACCGACGTGTCTTGCTCACTCACTCGCGCACGCACCGTGTGTGTGATTGTCGCCGAGCGCTCCGTCACGCGTCAAACTGCATCGTCGAGCGCGGGGGCGGAGGCTGGGGAGACGGAGCGGACGCAGGAGGTGGCTGTGCCCGACGCGGGGAGGTGCTCGCGACTGGCGGCACGCGAGAACGACCCGCTCGCCAACGGAGCGCGCTCGTGAAGGGGCTCGACGGTGGCGCTCGTGGCGGCCGCTGGGCGCACCGCGTGAGTTACGACGCGGGGGTGGGGTTCTAAACGATTTGGCCGTGATACAAACACTGGAGCAGGAGTCCTCTCATCCTCGCTATACATTTCGGTTAGAGGCAGTTTGTCAGGAGAGGACCGGCTAGAGCAGCTCTGGGACATTCGTTGCAGATTTTTTTTATTACAAGCCCATTTTTACCTGTTTCTATTTACGCGTTTCTTGTTTAACCATATCCCGAAGGAGTCCACAAATACTAAGTTTTACCCGTCCGTATTAACTATTTCGTGTTTAACCGTATCCCGAGGTTTCCCAAATACGCCCAATTTTACCGGTCCGTGTTTGCGATGTTCATGTTTTACTATAAAGATCCATTCACAATGCAAACGTAAACATAAGCATAGCACATAGACATAAACATTAACATAAGCGATAGACTGAAGTATTCACAATGCCTAACATAAACGTAAGCAAAATAAGTTTCTATTGGCTGAGAGTTTCTGGTTGGATGTGATAATCGATTTCAAGACATCGACTGTGTCTATGTCCCATATGACGTTAGTTCTATCGACTTCGCTCCAATTTCGATTCTCGATTTTGAGTTACCGTTCTGTGATTGGTTCATTTCTTATGTCTTACGTAAGCATAAGCACATATGCCTGAAGCTTGCAAGCTTTTAAGTAAACGTCTTACGTGTTATGCTTATGGGAACGCATTGTGAATGAGTCCGCTTATGGACGTAGTCCTAACTTTTATGTTAACGCCATGCTTATGTTTATGTTTGCATTGTGAATGGGTCTTAAGGCGAAAGACCCCACTGTCGCACAGTTTCCCCCGTCCGTATTTACGCGATTTCTGTTCACCGCATCCGACCTAAGCCATTGATGCCCAGATTTACCCTTCCATATTGCCGCGGTTCCCGTTTAACCGTATCTCAAAGGAACCCCACGGACGTCCCGTTTTACCCGTCCGTGTTTGGGCGGTTTCTCTTTCACCTTCTCCCGAGCCCCCAAGGCGTCCAATTTACCCGTCTGTGTTTGCGGGTTTTTTCTTTAACCGTATCCAAAAGGAGACGACAGACGCCCAGTTTTTTCGCGTCTCACCCTCGTGTTTCGTCTGAGTTTCGGCTGTATTACTTTAGAGATGCAGAGCTCTATAGTGCTCCTATCGTGAAGATGGCTTCTGTATTTTGTAACTTGCGCATCTTTCGCATACGTCCCCCGTACGTCACATAGAGTTTTTACTGTTTTTTGACTAAATAAATCTACATCTAAATCTTAGAGTCTGTTCAATTAGATTCAGTTTTCTTCGTCCATTGATCGTTGTGCAGGCCCAAACGTGTTTGCTCGTAACGTTTTGTCCATTTACAGAATCTTTCCTATGCCAAGTCCACGTCGGATGTTGCCTCTTTAGCATAGGTCCTTCGGTTCTTGTCGATGACGGATTTTCCAGTACTACGTTACTGGCTGGAATTCAACCAGTACTGACTGGAGAAGCATTCAAGCGACCGGCTGCTCTGAGCTGTAGCTTTCTGCAGTTTCTCCGATCAATACCAGGCGATTGTCGAAGAAGTACTTAATAAATGGGCAATGGACCGCGCGCGATCTTTCCTTTCTGATCCGTTTCCATTACTCTCCCCCTTACACATACCTGAACTACTCTACAACATACTTTGGGTGCCTTAGAGCTTTTCTTGTTTGGGGCGGTGCCGCGCTGGGAAGAGATATGGGTTGGAAAACCTCGCAAACCTGCGTGTAGGTCGGCGTCGAATCTTACATATCAGTTTGACGGGAACACAGCAACCTCTCTGGATGTAAAATTTTAAACAATGATTTACAAAGTGAAACATTTTCGTCTGGGTTCGCCTAGTTTTAAATTCTTTCGGTTGTACTGCTTACATTCATTCTATGAATAAATAAAAATATTGATTTTTATTGTAAATAGTTTTTAAAACCGTTTTCTGAGAGGTATTAAGGGTCCGTATAATCACAAAAAGAAAATCGTCAACTTATGACATGTTATATTTAAAAGAATATATTCAATCAATTGGTTGTATCTGCTATAAGTTTCTATACAAGAGTATGTGTGTCTATTCGAGTTCCTGAAAAAATTATGCCTCAAAAATAATTCAATACATGTAATTGTGGAAATATTTTGTTTTCACATTAAGTGAATAACTTCTTCTTAGACGTTATGCACTCAGAATCACCGTTTTGTGGGTCCTTGGTACCGAAAACGTGCTTGACAGCGAAACGTGTGTGGTCAGCGCTATCGCCTAAGCCGTTCAGACGATTTTCTCCAAAATTGTTGTTCCCGATCGATCTGCCCAAACTCGAAATTCTGCGAGTTTGAAACGGACACTTATTTTGATTTTTGGGAGGACTGTCCATGATGTCTCAACATTTTCAAACATTTCTCAGAAATAGCACCTTTCTTTTAAATTAAATTTTCATCGGGCAGAGAAAAGGACTTGTCGGGAAAATGGCGCATGTCTAACTTTGTTGATATCATTGAATATTGTACAAAAATTTGCAAACTTACGAAATATTTTCTTCCATCAACTTCAGTATTGAAGATATTTTTCCTTAATGAAATCTACTCTGAAAAGACGACCTTAAAAAAGATAATTTACAAATTTTCTCTTAAATATACGTGAAATATAGTCAATTTTACTTTCTCGCTCTTACAAATATGAGAAGAAAAAGTATTGTAATCGTACGCAGGAAAACGACGACTTTTCGACAGAAAATATATTTTTCAGCCATGATATCGAAAATGTGGATAAATCTTGTTCCTATATATAGTAAAGTTCTTCCTCTAAATCTTAGTGTAGCCATAATCTATACTTTGGGGGTCCTTGACACCGAAAAATCGATTGACGGCAAATCGTTTGTCTAACCGTCTGCGGTCAACGCTAGCGCCTAAATCGTTCAAAGGATTTTCTCCAAAATTGATATTCCCCAGTCGATCTGAACGAACGACTTTGGCAGTTTCAAAGGGATATTTCGATTATTGAGAATACTTTATATGGAATGTCAAAAACATCGATATTTTCTCAAAAATGGCTTTAAGTTTTACTTTCCCGTATACATACGTATATACGTAGAAAACTCGTAAGGAAAGTTATGTAATGCTGCGCGAAAACGGCGACGCATTTTCGGCAGAAAAAAATTAATTGTCGAGCCCTGATAACGAAAAGATGGATAAATTCAGCTGCTAAATCAAGGGGGGGGGAATCCCCTGACACGTAGTGCAGCCAGAATCCGTGTTTTGTGGGTCCTTGATACCGAAAACCCAAAACCCATGTGGTTCGATTTAAAGCTTTGAGATTTTGAAAAACATTCTTTAAAATTTGGGGTAGTTTACAAGAAGCTCCTGAGACTCTTCCAAAATGTCTCCAAAACGGATCTATTTCTTTTGTTTAAATTTCTTGTAAGAATATAGTAAAATACATTTATAAAGATGGCCTAGGTCGGATTTTCACGGTTACCCTTAAATGTTCGAAAATTGTATTTTTTTTTTCGACGTCTTCCTACAACTACATTATTTAAGATAGAATTTTCCTTCAAATAAACTTTGTTCTGCATAGTGAGTTCTTTTATTAAGGTCACGTACATTTTTTGAAAACTAATGTAATTGTCAGCAATATGTGTAATTACAAAAAATAACAAAACAATCTCAAAAATGGTTCCACATTCTTCTTCTAACTTTTCGAAGAGTGCTAATTGCACCTTAATATGACGTAAACTTCATTTTGGGGTATTTTTTTGTATTTTTCAAAAAAATTTCAAATGTAATATTTTTGAATAATTTCTCGCGCCCTTAATATGCACATTTCCAGCAATTTGTAAACACTATTGTATTTGTGAGTTAATTTGCTTCGAATGACTTCTAATGAAGTTTTTCCAAAACTCGAAAATTGTCTGTGAAAAAGAGCTTCAAATTTCGAATTTATAGTAGCGCTATAATAACGCCATTTACTTAAAAGCGGCTCCAAATGTTTCAAAGAAAATTGCCGTTTAGGACGTGGTTTTACTGTTCTTTAATATTCTTAAAATAATATAGCCGTTCTACTATCAGAAACCCGAAAAATGAAGAAAATTTCCAAAACATGTACTTTGGGCGGCGATAGATGGCAGCTGACAAGAGTATGTGGCAAGTCCGAATAGCTAGCCGAGACCAAAGAAAACAGAAAACTAATACGGGAAATGAAACGAGAGATGTGTTCTTCGAACAATTCACTCTTCCTTAAACACAACATTTGAAGCAATTATTCAATCTTCCTTGGCAGTTTTCGCTTTCCTTGATAGTCACACAAATATTAGAAAAAGTTTTGACTCTTCAGAGAGCTAAGAAAAGACTTCCATGCGAAAACACCGGATCGTACAAGTACAAACCTGCTCTTTGCAATATTTTTTAATACTGTCCTCGATTTGTTGTGAGAAGCAGAGGGGGTTTTGGAGGAGCAGGACGCCAGCTTGCTGGAGTATGGAAATTGAAAAATTATTTGTATACTAAAAAGTATTGGATTATTTTCTGCGTTCTTACGTACTTCAAGAAAAACAATTCCAAGCCAAAAGAAATAAAACTAATGTTTTCAAGTTTAAGTAATAAATACCATATGTTATCATTAGAACCAATGCAGTAAGCTTTGATTTCACTTCGATTACATGGGAATTTTGCTGAAACGATGTTTACGTATTGAATATCATAGCGAACCGACACCTTAAGTTTAATAACAAACGGTGTATTATTTACATTATGAATTTTTAGTTGTACATTGATGTACCGCTAACATTTAAATCGTAGGTCTTGATTGTGATCGTTTGCAGTTGTCGAGTGACTTGCGCTATTCTTGCTATAATTTTCAATTTGGTTGCTTTTTTAAATCAACTCGCATAGTATTTTAGTCTAGCGCG